ATCCATGGGTAAGAAGAAAATATGCATAACACATAGATCAGACAAAGGACTTATATCTAGAATATACGTGTTAAATTAATTAAACAGGGCTATTTGACTGAAGAGGCTTTACGACCTCAGTGGCCTGTTAAGCAAACCTAAACCTAAGCCTCTAATGCCTCAAGGTTAAGAATTCAAACCACAGGACAACCAACCACAAACCACCAGCTAGGCTTTCCCACATAGCACGGCCACTGAAGCAAGCGACAGCCAGTCAAGTAACTTCTTTCCTCTGCTTCCGTCTCTTCTCTGCAGAAGTCTTTTCTCCTGTCTCATGTCGGTGGAACACTCCCAACCATTTCTGGCTTGCCACTGCCCAATTTGATTTGATTTTTGCTCAAACACTTCATAAACTTACTATACCTCATTTTATTTACCTTTTATCATAGGAATTCTAACAACTGAATAATAAGAATACAAACCAACCGCTAAGAAAATGGGCAAGAGATTTGAACAGGCGCTCTTATAGAGAAGACACACTTGTAAAGAAGCACATGAGAAGATGCTCAGTATCATATGTTACTAGAGAAATGCAAATTAAAACCAAAAGAAGACACTACTGTATACTTACTCTAGTGTTTAAAACTAAAAAAGTCTGTCCATAAGATGCATGGGTGAGAATGTGAAATGATCAGAGCTCTCAGACCACAAAATACTCTGCAGGTTTCTTAAAGAGTGAAACAGACACTTCACCACATAACGCAGACATCCTACTCACAGGTTTTACCCAAGAAAAATGGAGACATATGTCCACAAAAAGACTTACACAAGACTATTCTTAGTAGCTTTATTTACGTTTAAAAACTGGAAACCACCTAAATGCCCACCAAATAAGTAAATGAATAAGCAAATTATAGTATTATATATATATATATGAGTAGTACTCAGCAATAAAAAATGAACTATTGATACATACAATAAAATGGATGAATGTCTAAATAATTATACTGAGTTTTAAAAACCAGACCAGAAAAGAAAGAGTACATGCTGCATGATTCCCTTTATACAGAACTCTAGAAAGTGCAAACTAATCTACAGTGACAGAAGCAGGTCTCCTGGAGGTTGGGGGATGAACGGGAAAAGTGACAGATGTGCTCAGTATCTTGATTATGGTGATGGCTTCACAGATGTATACACACTTCAGAACTCATCAAAATGCGCACTTTAATAAGTGCCATTTATTTTATATCAGTTATCCCTCAACAAAGCTGTGAGAAGAAAAAAGAAACTCCCCAAATAATAAAATAAAATAAAATAAAATAAAAATACATCATGACCACGTTGGGTTTATCCCAAGAATGCAAAGGGTTGACTTAATATTTGAGAATTAACTCATGCATTTCATCACATTAACATAATGAAGGAGAAAACTATATATTCAACTCAATCGAAACAGAAAACAGAAATAATTACTCTTCAGAGAAATAACACAAGAAAATAGGCTACAGTATAAAGTCGAGGGCTTGCAGGTTAAAAGGAGCCACTAAATTAATGCAGATTGAACGAATAAAAGTTTTTTTAACTCACTATAACACACATTACCGTAAAATTTCAAATGAGAAAGGAAAAGAAAAAGATCCTAAAAGCTCTGGAGAGAACCAAAAGAGAGTCACATATTAAAGACAGGGAATCATTCTGGCTGGTGTGGCTCAGCGGGTTGAGCACCAGCCTGCGGACCAAAGGTCACTGGTTCAATCCCCAGTCAGAGAACATCCCTGGGTTGCAGGCCAGGCCTGCAGTTGGGGGCGTGAAAGAGGCAACCGGTTGATGTTTCTCTCATACATCCAATGTTTCTCTCTTTCTCTTTTTCCCTCCCTCCCCCTCTCTATAAAATCTTCAAAATGGCAGGGAATCAAATAGATTTGGGACTCCCCACAGCCACTGAAAGCCAGAAGACAAAGGAACAATGTCTTCAGAATTCTGAGAACAAAAAATTTGCAACTTAAAATAACTATCAAGTCAGACTCTCCATCAAAGAGATGACAGAAGAATAAAGACATTCTCATATATTCTAAAATGCATATCCTTCTATACTCTTTCTGAAGAATGTACTGATTTTTTTCTCACCAAAACAAAAAGAGAAAAATGTCAGGCACAGGACTGGAGAGAGAGGCAAGAAGAAACCCCCGGATGAAGGTGGGGGGGGCCAGGAGCAGGGTGGTGGGGCGGGGGCACAACCAGGCTAGTCATAGCAGGAACATAGAGGGTACTAGCTCAGATGTTTTCTAGAAAAAAGTTGAATTGATAGAATATCTGATTTTTTTAACCTGATCGTGAGATTTAGAGTTCTCTCAGAGTTTGGGGTCGAACTAATGATGGGTATATAAGGAAATGAAACAAATGAAAAAACAAGGTAATGCTTCCTCCAGATTAAACAAAAGGTTGTCCAAGAGAGGAGACATTCTTACAACACACTGTGCATGATTCAGCAAGACAGAGTACTTAAGGAGTATTTACAGAGTAAACCATGGGCTTGTATATTGAACACCGATTGAACTAGACATTGACGACAACCCTATGTTAGAATGGGGCGGGCTGAGTCAGAGCATTGAGGTGATGTAAAAGATTTGAGTCTTATCTTCCATATTACAAAGTAATAGGTAACAGCCAAAACTGTTCATTTCAAATAATCAAAGAAATAGCAATGTAAAAGTGTTATGTAGAAAACGGAAGATATCTGCCAAAAAGATCATCAGTTCAAAGAAAGAAATGTGGTCGCCTCCATAAGCAGGGAAGGGCAAGTCAGGACTGCCCTTTTTGTATGATTTAAGTCTTATATTATTTTAAAGTATTATTTGATTTTTAAAACTATGCGCATGTGTTACTTGGATTTAAAAAAAGCAAAAATACCCTGGTCAGAGTGGATCCGTTAGTTGGGCGTTGTCCTGCAACGGGAAAGGTCGCAGGTTCGATTCCCTGCCTCTGCATATGCCCCAGTTGCACGTTTGGCCCTCAGTGGGGGCTCATGCAAGAGGCAAGTGATCGATGTATCTCTCTCACATCGATGTTTCTCTCCCTCTCTTTCTCCCTCCCTTCCCCTCTCTCTGGAATCAATAAAAATAAAAAAATTTAAGCAAAAATGACCCTCTTTGCAGCCATAACCCAACACATTCTATAATACCTAATTAAATTACTTATTTACCGTCAGAAGTACAAGCATGAACAGGCTTGGGAACAAACACACCTGGTTCTTGGCAATGAACCACCTAAGCAGCAGAGATATGCAAGCTTGCTAGAGAGAAGCCTACCAGACGTGTGCGTCCCACATGCCAAGGGCGTCCGGTCAGTGTGTTTTACAGAAGGAACACAGGGCCCTGGTTAATCTAGCAAGTCATTTCAACTGTAATGAATGCAGATCATTAAGGAGGATGAAATAAAACAACCTTGATCCATCCACTTTTGCTACCTTGTCCTTTTCCCCTGGGTGAGATGGAAGAAATTCTACAAGGAACGAAGCTCAAGATCATCATCCTTCTCAGGGTCATTCAATTTGCCCTGAAATATTAACCCTCTTGAGGGAAATCTGCAAATGAGGATAAATTGAGGTCCTTTTGAAGGACAGGCTATCTTATATGTCCTTTGGCTTAATCCTCAGAATGAGTTGGGAAGGTGGCAAAAGAGATAGCAAAGCAAAATCTGCTTCTTGCACCGAAATGGACCTGATTTAATTTCGGTAACTAGATTTGTTTGCATTATTGACTATCTTCTCCTTTGCATTTTGGGTACGTACTAAACACCATACACATAAGCACTGCAGGAGAAAATACACAGTGGGGAGCTCAAAACAGGACCTGAGAGGGTCTCGTAACAAATCTCTTAGTCTGAAAGTCAACATCTTACCTGCCACAGTCAACAAAGCCTTGAGATTTTTGAGTATTTTGGATTGCTAAGTATTGGAAGAGTTAAGAAGGATATACAACCACCTTTCAAAAAAAAATCAACCAACTGATTATCTGCCACTTTGGGCAATGATATGCAGAAATATTGTGCAGTAAGGGAAATTTGTTTCTGGCTCTTTTTACTAGAACTTAATTCTAGAACACCTAGGAACAGCAGATCCATCCTGCCTCCTTCATTCACTGTGCCTGCCGGCCCTTCCTGATGAGAAATTGTCAAAGTGCCTTTTTAGCTGCAACTAGAAAACCAAGCAAGGCAGAAATGGGCTTTCAGCCATTAAATGAGTACACCTTTTTATATGTAGAACCAGCTAGAAGGGATGGTTTGGATTTTCTGGAAGTTCACTCCCCACAGCCTATGCAAATCAACTCAAAATAAATATTGTCTTTATTTATTCAGAAGCCTTTATGCTACTTTTTTCTTTGACATCAGTAATCACAGAATGTGACTCAGGTCCAGCAACATAAATGTCTCCTCGGTTGAGTTCCATGAAGAATTTCTCCCCATAAATGACCCATGGACATGGACAACAGGTGGGGATTGACTGGGGAAGAGGTCGCGGGGCGGAGCGGAGCAAAGGAGAGCAATGGGGGAAAATTGGGACAACTGTAATAGAACAACAATTCAGAAAAAAAGAATTCCTCCCCATTGCATGGGCCCCGACTCTGGCTATGAGCCAGGCCCTGAGCTGGCCACAGAGCGTCAGCACTTGCTCTCAGCACTGCTTTGATGGGACTGAACTGTCCATTTTAACCACTCTTACTTGAACACAAAAGAAACTCATGGTAGCCACTGCCCTCCCCTTCCTTCAGACCACCTAATGTTCCATGTTGGAGCACCCAGACCAGCACAGAAGTACCTGCACTATGTTTTTCACAGGTAACAATTCCAGTCACCCTGTGTACACAGGACGTGCCCCTCCTCCACAGCTCCTCCTTCCCAGTGGTGATTTTGAGTGTTCAATGGGGAAGACCGTTTAGTCCCTAAGTGTTTTTCAAACTGGAATCCACATTTTCCCAAGCCCTATAAAGTTGGGGGCAGTGTTGGGGGGAGCAGAGAGGTACCTCAGTGTCAGAGCTGTTGCCATTCAGAGCCTCCAGGTTTGGGTCCCTCCAGTCCTCTGAGAGTGAAGGGATGTAATTGTCTGTCAGAGCATCCCAGACCCTGGAAACAAAGAGAAGCTCTCATTAGCACCCATCTGTGGCCCCGCCCCCCTGGAGGAAGGAAGAGCTGGGCCAGGGGAGCAGAGGGGCCCCCAGGAGCGCCAGGCTGAGGCATCTGTCTTCCAGCATGCAGGGGCAAGGCAGCTTAGACACCGAATCAGAGGCTCCACTGGGAGAGAAACGGCCCAGAGAATGGACCCTGGCCGGGAGCTTCCAAGTGCAAGGTGTTTGCTTCGGGGAAGAGAAATTTCTCACCATCGAGATGCATATGGTAGACAGTATGATGAGACCACCTCTGGCAATAACAAAATTGCCCCAGAAAATAAATCTGCCCTTCCACAAAATAGTTCACATCTCATGAAACTAAGTAATGCCCCTGTTTCCTTTCTTATGGGCAGAGAAGAGTGGAAGAGAAGAGAGGAACGGGGGGAGAGGAGGGGAGATCTGGGCAGATTTTCTGGCTGGATCTCATTAAGAACAGGGTCGTCATCTGGGTCAATGTTGCTGATGCTTACTTATTACCCAAAAGGTTTAGCGAGCCCATGGGGGGCATAATCTGCCCTCTAATGGCAGAGTCAGAGTGTCCCTTGCCTCCATCATGGACCCTCTAAAGCAACCATATGGGGGGAAGCAATGAACACACCTCTGTCTCCATCATCACTTCTCAGTGGGAGAAGATGGTGCTCCCTTGATTGTATTTCTTTTTTAAATTGTGACATGTACATTATTTTAAAAAAAAGGTTTTTACAATTCCTGTTGCTCAACTCACCTATTTCAGAACGATTTGTTTGGGGGAAAAGGGAGGTGGGGAAAATCCAGAAGTCACAAACTCTCATGCAGAGGAAAACACATACACTAGTCAATAGCAAGGGATTGATGTGAATCAGTAAACCAAGCCCTAAAATACTGCCACCATGGAAGCAGGCAGCACCTGAGCTAACACTAAAGAACAATAAAGGAGGGCTCTATGCAACATCCTTCCGGTGCCTGTGCATGTCAAACATGAGTGATACCTATGAAACCAACAGATAATATTAGATAATATTATCTAGATAATATTAATATAAGAAAATAGCCATTTAAAATAAGTAATACATGGATCAAATTGAAAAAATGACAAATATGAATTAAAATGCTGAAACAAGTGCAAATTATCTGTATAATATATTATATACATTAGACATTATAATTTTTATATATAAAGAGAGCAAAACAGAGCACAGATACTTGAAATCAAAATCAGATACATAAAATGAAGGAGGAAAGTGTTCTTAACACTTAATGTATATAAAATCAGGAATACTATATGATATATGAGTGTATAAGCAAAGAGATTTTCCTAGCTCATGATGCATACAATTTGAACTGGCAACGAAATGAAATGAGTTCTCAAAAACACGATTTAATGGCAGTGCTTGGGTGATCGGCTCATTTACTGTTTTCCTACGATTACAGGAAACACTTCGTGAGCGCTCACCAATCGTTCATTAGACGGCTATTCAGCAGGGTTTCAGAGTCTACTCCCTAAACACTGCAATAATCCAATCTCTATCAGGCACTATTAGCGCCTCCTTAATCCAGCCTAATTCCAAATCCATGTCTCATTAGCATTCTAGAGTCAGGAGGCAAACGTGATTTGCTGTCTCCAAGACCAAACTCCAAACGCCACGCCCACTAGAAAGGTGGGGACAACCCCTGCTTGCATCAGATCACTGCATCACATTCTCGGAGGTGAGAATGTAACAAAAATGTACACAGGCACTGACCTTCGGATTTGTCCCTGCAGCAAGTGCCTAGAAAATGAAATTCAGCAAAGCCCAAAATAGTCCGCAGCGCGTGTCCCTCTCTCCCAGGCAGGATGGAAGCTGGGAACTTCAATAGGCTGCACACTGTCCAATGATCTTCAAATTGTCTACATCCTTAAGGTGACTGCTGGAAACTCTGGCCAATCTTTTAGGGAACAGCAACTTTCCTCATCTGAGCCTTCATGACCCTACAGTGTATTTTATCTCCTAATCCTAGATTTTTAGTGATGACTTCCTAACCCTTTATCTCCTCCGAATTTCAAGCCATTCTCATTCTCTTTGAGGTTTTGCCCAGGTTTTCTTCTTCCTTTCAAGGTGCTCTTTATCCTTTGAGGTTTGTGAACAGCCTTGGCAGAATGACTCTCATCTCTTTGCAGTCACTCGCAGGCCCTTCCTGTACTTATCGGGTTCCCGTCCACCAGCAATCACAGCAGCCAACATGTAACCAACACGCACTCACGGTAAGCCAGGTGTTATCCTAAACACTTACTGTGGATTAATTCAGTCACTTCTCACAGCTCTGTAGGGCAGATGCTAATGAGGAAGAACGGAAACCTAGGAAAGTTCATTTAACTTGTGCAAGTTGACACAGCCATTAAAACAGAGGTGGGGTTTGAATCCAGGCAATAGAGCCACAGAGCCTGGCTTCCTAACCATTGAACTCCACAAACTCTTGATGAATTTTTTGACGGGCATGGGCAACAGAACACTGTAAAGTTCCAAATCACACCTAGGACTGCGGTTCGGAACCTGGCTGTGCGGGGAGCACCTGCAGCTACCTTGCTCAGGGCAGTGCTTTTCTCCAGTCTGCAGAAGACAATGGCTTGGGCAGCAGGGGCCCACGCTGCTTTCTGCCTCCATCCCCATCCCAGGGAAGGGCAAATGGAAGGCAAAGGCAGAACGCAGAGACGCAGGCAGCCATGGGACCAAGGAGCGTGGGAAGAGGAAGAGAGAGGGAAGGACTTTCTCCCCAGAGAGGCTAACTCTCCGATGGCAAGCAGGGTCCTTGGAAATGAACAAATTCCCTTTTGTGGGTACCCTGAAGTGGACCGTAAAATCCCACTTCCCTGAGCAGCAGCCTGCTCTGTACTCTTACCCTGGAGAAAGGAGACTTTGAAAGCTATCTATTCTATCTTTCATCGAAGAGCTAAGATTAAACAGGTTGCCTCAGTTCCTGTCCTGCTGCCCCGAGATTCAGTTTGCTGAAAATAACAGAAAAGTCTTTTCAGGTGCATATGTCATATAGCTTGGGCTCAGAGGCCTGCAGAACTGATTACACTGTCGTTCGGCAGAGGGCTAGGGGGAAAGGGTGCTGGCAGAGGATGAAGACACCAGACAGCATGGGTGGTGATGATACACCTAGACAAGAGCTCGGATCTGAAGCCGGCAGTATAGCCATCAAGGCTACATTAATCCTGCTGCACACGCGTGTGCGCACACACATCCTACACATCTACTCCTGGCAATATGGTAAGTAGTGTACAGGGCTCCTCAGAATTGCAACTTGGTAACATGTCCCTGAACCCTCTCAGGCTGAACCCCCTCAAATGGACCTTGTCCAGTGTCCATTTGTGTCTAGTGCCAATGTCCACCCTTAGATGCGTGTTAACATGAGTACGCTCTTGCAGTTAACACTTAGAAGTAACTAATTACTAGCACAATAATGACTTTGAACAACTTTTTAGAGTCATCCCAATGCTTAAACAGAATTAATGCTATCTCTGCCTTCTCTAGGGAAACACTGCACCTCTAATAAAAGAATTAACTTTCCTAAAAATCACAGTTATCTGTCAGCTTTTCCTAGCTGATTATTTAATATTTATTTGTCTTCAACTTACAGTGTGGCTGCCTACAGGCTATTTACATATTGTGCAGACTTAGCCTGTGTCTTTAACATCACCTTTAAACCCATGATTTCATCTCAAGAACAGGAGAACTGTCACTGTTCTCGCATGTTTGGCCCCTTTGTATCCAGGGCCCTTGTAGGAGGGCTGGTAGGGACCCCAATGAGGCAAGAGGTGAGGTGAGACAGTCCGTTCCCATTTTGTATTGGCCTCTAAGAAGCTCTGGTCCCCAGGTTCAATCTCTTATGATAAAGGAAAGAGTGATCACACCTAAGCCAAGAAGAGATTCTGAAATCGTTTCTAAATTCAAAAACAGGAGCGGTATATTCAAGCCTGACTCTCCTTGAAGGCTCCATGCCCCAAAGAGTCAGAGATAAGGTGATATCTCAGCCAGTTCCCTAGTAGCCGGACACTCCAAATGGGAATCAAAGGAATCAAACTTCAGAGGGAATCACTGCATTTGCTTTATGATTTGTGCTTTCTTTAAGGAGGTTAGTGTGACCAAAAACGTCATTGTTTTTGTTTTAAAAGGTTCTGTATTTAGTTCTATTCCACCCCAAACACTTTCAATTCATTTGGAAGTGAAATATCCCTCCAAATATTAAACCTAAGCAAGTTTCTAGAACATGAGAGCTAGGCTCAGGAGAATTGCAAGCAGATTAGATATTCAATTATCTTTCTCCTTTACCTCATCATAATTTTACAGTTGAAATATCTGAGTAGGTGTCTGGAAAATAAAGTATGCAATTTAATTCTGATTTTATTTTAGGTTGTAAAGAGTTAGATACACGGACTGGCTAGAAAGCAGTGTTCATATCTCTCTTACCAGCTTCCTCCCTCTACACTATCCCCAAGTCATATTTGATCTCTAAGGAATCATTCAACCTTTGGTCTTTTAGCCGAGTCAGTCAATGAGGCAGGCGAGTGAGAAAAATCAGGATAAAACCAATAATCCCACATGACGGTAATTGACATTGAGTGGCCTCTGCCGATGTGCTGGGAGAGAGTAAGAACCTGCTTGCTGGGCCTCCATCCTTAATGAGGCAGAGGGGGATTTAGATAACGGAGAAATGATTTACTGGAAGAAAAAGATATGAGACACATCTCAATATGTCATTTTCAGAGCACAGCCGGGATGAGGTAAGACATTAGGCTCTTTGCGAGTCCTTAGTCCCGCTTCATCAAGATCGGGCCCTGGAGGTTTCGAAGAGAAGGCCGCACGCAGCCGACTCGAGTTAGGAGACCAGCCCAAGGTCACACAGCGAGTTAGTGAGAGCAGGAAAATTAAGATTCATAGTCCTTATATTTCTAGTTCATTGCCTGGTGCAATGAACTGGAGTGAAAAAATACTCTGTACAGTCAAGCCCCACATTTACCCATTTTTTGATTTAAAAGAGTTGAGCAAATTATAATCGGCTCAGTATCTAAAAAGGATTTGTCTGAAATGTAAAATGGAATCAGAACATGCAGCGCACAGAGACGGTACCGGTCACCAGAGCGAAATGTTCTCTATGCCCGTGTCTTTAGGCGAGACTGAATTAAAAAGAAAAGACAGAAATGGGGGTAGACCTAGAAATACTTTACACATCCCTACAAGGCTAGCTGTTATTGCTCATCCAACTCATTCCATATTCAATAGTTCATTCAAAAATATTTATTTGATCACTCACTACACACCAAGCACTGTATTAGACAGCGGGGATATAATAGTAAGACACAGATGGGTCGCCCTCAGAGATGCAGTCTTAATTAGTCACCACAGACGCAACCGTCTGCCAAACATGGTCAGACCCAAGCCTCCAGGACATGCCTCTTACCCAGCTGGTTTACGGTCAACTCTTCCCACTCAAGTCCGTGAAAAGAGAACCCAAAGCACGGTTGCTCAAAACTCCCATCACCATCCACGTGCCATTCCTGTGAGATGCCTAAAGAACAACTGGTACATATTTTATCTCTATAGGGAATTCATGTGTTTTTTTCTAAATGCCCCCAAACACTGTTCTTTCATTTATATGACAAATTACCCCTTCTCTTTCTAGTCCCTCTTCAAATAGCTCCATTCCCAGATCCTTTTTCTTGACTACAGGTCAGACCCGAGAAGGCGGCTGGTAAGTGACATGGGGAATGTGCCCACCCAGAAGCCGCTTCTCCCAGTTATCACCCTGACATTGCCCGGGGTAATCCCATGGGCTCTCTGTTCAGTGTATGTGTGTTCCTATTTGGACACATCTTAACCTTTCTAGATATTTTTTTCGGTGGTGAAAGACTATAAACAATTTGGAGATGTTCACAATTCTGGTGTTTCTTGAAGGAAATTGTTCTAATGACATAGATTCCTCTCTCATAGTTAATTTCTTTTTTCTGGTCTTTTTTTTTTTTATATCTGGGTGGATTCCCACTGACATAAAGAAAGCTGAAGATAGCCCCCCAAATGTACCATGCTCCTGAAATTCTATTTTGTATCGAGGAAAAACTTTCTATTTCCTAAAATTCCTTCATTCCTTTAAGCCATTCTTCCCATTTGGGAAAGCTCTACCGGCGACCGTACAGAGCCGCATCATCGCAGAGCCGCGTCAGCCGTTGCCAGGCACTGCCCCCCGACATAGAAATGGAGGCAGGAAGCCACGAACTCACAGCCAGAAACTACTTCTATGACAAGGAGCCCCAGGCTACAGGGTTCCGGTATGAAGAGGAAGAGGGCAACTAAGGCTTCTTACTCCTCGTCCTGCAGGGTCTCCTCCTCCTCCTGGATCTGGAACTGGTTCTTCACGGGAGCTAGGTTCTCGGTCTTGGCGTTGTAGTTCCGAAAGCAGACATTGAGCTTCTCATCAAACTCATTCACGAGGTCCTCCATGGACTTGAAGCTGATTATTTCAGAGGAAAAATTCTCAAGCTCAGACAGGGAGGGGTCCTCTAGATGGTGGGGAGATGAGCCATAGAAACACCGGGGCTTCTCCTCCTGTTCCTCTGAGCAGCAGGGCCGGAGGTCCTCAAACTCTTCGTCCAAACTCACTAGTGGGGCCTCCATTCTGGCACAGCGGCAGCTCTCAGGATTCGTTTATCTAGGAGAAATAAACGAGGCAAAGTGAGCTTGGGCTGGGCTTTCGGGCCAGCTCTGCTGATAAGTGGAATGACATTCCATTACTCTGTGTCTCCCTAAAACCAAAGATTCCACTTCACCAGCATCCTTCGCTCCTGCACTTCCCCATTATTGTGCACTTAAGGAGTTCAAACATCACTGTCCGTATGAATAATGCTAACCCAAATAGAGTAAACTTGAGAGACATACCTGCTCTGAAAAACAAAGCTTAGCGGTGCACGTGCAGCCCCTGGACGAGACCGCCTAGGCTCGCATCCTGTTCTGCCCCTTACCAGCGCCAGCCTTAGCAAGTTTCTCAACTTCTCTGTGCTGCATTTTAGCCTTCTCAAGACAGATATAACAATGGGACCTACCTCCCAGGGTTGTCATAGGGGTAAAGGAGCAAACACAGGGGAGAGCTTAGAACAGTGGCTGGCAGACAGTAAATGTTAATATTATTCAGTGTATGCCCAAATCCTTAACCATGTACTCCAAAAAGCTGGTGGTTCTTCATAACTTACTTGGTGGCAAAACCTGACCTGACCTAAGCTCATTTGGCAGGTAAACCTAATCTATGTGAAGAAAAAAGCTGCGTATGGTTTTGTTACCCCATTTCTAGAGATTGTTTCCCTCACCCCCAGGGGATGATATACAGAATATGCACTCTACTGCTGCCTTCCAAAATTCAAGATAACTGAAGTTCTGAAACATGCATGACCCCAAGGATTTGGGGTAGGAATTCATGGGCCAGGATATGACTACCTTCCTCAATAAATAAGAGGTTAATAGAATGCCAACTGAGACGTTCAAGCAAGCAGCAGAGTTTTTCCCAGACACAGAACATATGTCTGGGACCAGAGGAATGGAATACATGATCCATTATCCCGTAAAAGACAGACCCACTACTGCCCAGGCCAGTAGGAGTTGGTTGGAGTATTGTTCCATGGACCCAAAGGTCGAGGGTTCAATTCCTGCTCAGGGCATGTGCCTAGGTCGCAGATTTGATCCTCAGTTGTGTGCATACAAGGATGTAGCCAATCGATGTTTCTCTCTCACATTGATTAAAAAAAAAGAAAAGACAGACCATGTGTCCCAGAGCAGAACCCATGAGCAGCACCCTGCACCCTGTACCCGGGAAGGCTGCACACTCTGGCCTCCCTTCAGTTCCCAACAGCTCCGGGCCCTCTTCATACATTGCCTTCATCTGTGATGTATCCATCTGTGCAGCCCCAAGCCCTTTGCCAATTTGCATCTAAATTTGTCAAGGGCACAGGCGTCCTCTGACCACCTCCCCGCTCCCCGGTCCTAGCACACGCTGCCCTGCGGCCAGGCCATCAGTCACTGCGCACTCACTGAAGAACGATCTTCTCACCCTGCGTTCAGTTTCTCATTTTCAATTTCAGGCAGCACAAGCACCATTATCTATCCTGCCCTTGTCTGCGCACACAACTCCCTTCCTTGCAACAAAGCCAGGCAACCCAACTCTTCTCTCCTGTCTCCGGAATCTTTGATCCAGTTAGATGCTTACATTGGAACCGCTACCTGAGGAGAACCAAACAGACGGCAAAAGCTACGGGTTTGGCCCTAGGAGTGCCATTTTCCATCTCTTTCTATGGAACTAAAACTCTAAACAAGCAAAGCGAAGGGCGTGCCAGGCCCTGGACAGCTCTTCCTGGGCTTTTACTGGGGTTGAGTCAGTGGGCACAGCATCACATCAAAGCATATTCTGAGTATTTACAGTTTACGAAGGCAACATGATAGGACCTTAGAATATAAAAAGATACAAAGGCAGGATGATATCTTGGAAAGAACACAGGCTTAAGGGCCAACAGGCCTGCCAATGTCTGGCTCAGTGACAAGCATGGTGGGTCTTGATCACCTCACTTGTTAAAATGAAGGTGGTGGTATAGAGCTAACACCTTTGGAACTTGATTTTACTAACATATGAACTTAATTATAATAATGTATTTTATTTAATCCAGCATATTCAAACTATCACCATTTCAAATCGTAATCCATATTTTAAAATATTAATGATATGCTTTTATATTCTTTTTCATACTGTCTTTGAAATCCAGGGTATATTTTACATTCACAGTAAGCCTCTGTTTAGACGAGCCGCCTTTCCAGTACCCAAGAGCTGCATGTAACCAATGGCTACCCTACTGGACAACACAGCTACCAAGCCATACACAACTAATTGTCAGAGAGTGATTCTTCACAGAGGGGCCACAGATGCCAAGGGCTCTTAAGTATAATTACATTTTAGTTAATGCATTTAAAAACATATTCAGAGAAGGATCCCATAGGTTTCTCCACATTGCCAAAAGGGCCCACCCACAGCACAGAAATGATCAGGGGTCCCTTAGTGCCAATGCGAGTTTAGACAAGACCACAGAGTGAACAGTGAGTGGGGAAGGTTTTACTGGTGAGGAGTTTGTGTCGATGGAGGGAGGACTCCGTGAGGGTGAGGTGCCTGGACTCCGGGTTCCCACCCCCATCCTATCGCTTCCTCGCTCTGAGACTTTGGGCAAATCATCAGCCTCCTTGTGCCTCGGTTTCCTCGTCTCTAAAATGGGATTTAGAATAGCACTCACACTGAAGGTTATTTTGTGGAGTAAATAAGATCATCTTTGAAACGCTAGGCACCATGTATGGAATACATAGTGTCCAATGCATGTCAGTGATTTTAGGAAAATGGGAATAACTTAGTTCCATGGAAATGTGGAGTGAGAGTGCTCCAAGTGACAGAAAAACTGTCCCTGCTGTGACATACTATCCTCCAAATGCTCATCAAGTGAGAGAACTATTGCTGAATGAACTTTACCATCTTTTTTTGCTAAGGCACCCATATTTTAGTTCATTTGGTCAAAGCCTTTTGACTCATGGGTCCCATTTCAGAGAGACATGAAAGTGAACCAGCAGATGTTCCAGAAACTTACATTTCCTTTAAATGTGAGCTTTTTTCCAGGAGAGACAGTGTGCTGGAAGGAATAGGTGATACCAAGGGGGTGGGGATTTGAAACAGCACAATCTACACTAATTAACCAGCAACAAGAGGGCTATCTAGGACTCAGATTGAGTTTTGAGCCTTGGCAACAGGGAGATTATGCTGAAAGCACCCATCCTCAGCAGCCTCTAGAGAAACAGATTCATCTAGAGGAGTATTAAGGAAGAAATCGGTATCATAGTTCGAGAGTTCAGAAACATGACCACAATCCATAATGGAGCTTGATTGCTTTCCACCAGTTCACTGCCTGGGAGCCAAGAAGCTTGGCGTGAAAGGCCAGCTGGACACGATGCTAAGACTGAAAGCTGTGCTGGGGATGAGCAGTCACTCCACACCCAAAGTGAGCCCAGAATTTGTAGAAAAAGCTCCGGCTGCGGCAGAGGAGATGAGAGCCAGGCATTCTGACCGGTCTTGAGGAGGGGGTTCTGGGTTGGGGCTCGAAGCCCTTCTTGAAATGGTGCCCCCTTCTCTCCTTCCTTCAGCTCAACGTCTTTCACTCTTCCCTAAGGGAAGAGGGCCTTTGCGCCCCCCTCAACTGATATGTCCTGCTCTTGCATCCTGGCAGGCTTGCCTATCTTCCCGTCTTCATTGCAGGTCACCTCCGAGGTCTCCTCCCCACCTTAAAAGCTAGGGTCCATGTAATCAGTCACTTACCCCCTTTCTCTGTACTTTCAAAGTTGATTTTTTAAACAGCATGTGAAGCATGACAGAAGGCTTGTCTTATCCTTTTCTCTTTAAGCACAGAGGGCAGGAGTATAGTTTGACTATGTCCTATAATCTATTCCCTTCATTTTGGCTCCCAATGGATAGTGTAATTTGGAAAAGAAAAGGCACCTCGGAGCTTCATGGAGGCCCGGCAGGAAACACACAAGCCTCTCTCTCCTCTCTCTCGTGCAGGATAATGATGCACTGGCTGCAGCTCGGGGCTGCGGTACAGATTTCCAGTCCCTGCTTTGCTGAGCTGAGCAGAGTGGAGCAGAGAGCAGAGAATTTACCGTGCCTCCACAGAGGCCCCCTGCCATTGCTCCCCTCTTCCCATTACTTGCCCATAGATCAATTGTTTCTGTGTGCCCCCCCATCCCTCACACCTGCCCTCCACTAATGTACCTTCAGTTTCCTGCTGCTACTCAGCAACACCCAGCCAGTACACAGGATCCTGCCAGCTTCACATTTTGATGGAAAGAGTATTTCATCACATACAAGCCAGCAATCCCCTTGCGGTTCTGCTCCCCCCTGTTTCCCCTCCTCCCGCTGCTCCATTCACCCTCATCTCGCATCCCCCCTACCCTCCGCCCCTGGGCTGTTGGGGTAAATAAAGGCTCCTGCGAGCAACACAATGGCTGGCGCTCCAAGAAAGCTGGGCTCACCCCACTGGCCGCACACAGACTCCACTGGTCCTTTTGACCAAACAAGACCGGGACACAGGAATGGGTAAGGATTTGGGGGTGTCGATCGGCGAGGATGGAATGGGTAGGCAAGAGAGAACAGAGGGCTGTGATAGTAACCCCCGCCACGAGCTCTGTCCAGCGTAGCGCTCCGAGCTCCGGAGACCCTGAGCCCCCAGTAGGCAGCGCGCCCTCCACCACACTCCTCCTTCCTCCGACCTGTCCTGCGGTCCAACAATCGCTCCCCAGCGTCTGCGGCAGCGGCCAGGGTGCTGACCCTGCAGGCATGCTGAGTCCTGGGGAAGGCCTGGCACCCCAGGGAGAGCACAGCGTAGGGCGGGGCGGGTTATTAGGGACACAGACGACTCGAGCTTTTAAGGTGACGGACAGGAGGAGGCACCGACCCACTGCTCCGGCACCACCCGGCATCGTCCGCAGAGTCCCCTGCCTCCCCGGCCCACACCGCGTGCTCAGGCACACAGACACACACATGCACACACGCACCCCCGCACGGGCCAGCTCACACGTACACACACTGTCACACTCACATACACACATCCACTGTCACGCTCAGTCACTCTCTCTCACACACACACACACACACACACACACACACACACACACACACACACACACCAGGCCTGGCTGGGGGCCCAGGCTCTGATGCTGCTTGCAGTGCCCGTGGTCCCACATCCCCGGTCGGGCGCTGCGTCCACGCTGAGCTCCCGCGAACGGCTGGACAGAGAGTGCCGGCCTCCGGGCTTTTCCATTCCGATTCCAGGATGGCACGGGGCAAGAGGTGCGAGGCTGCGGCTCTCCTAGACCTGCGGGCAGGGGAGCCCGGGGTCGCAGGGCCTCCTCACCACCCTGTCCAACCCCCACCCACGGCCGTGGGTCGGTCCGGACCAAGGTCGCCCCCCGCGACTGCACCTGTGCGGGTCCTGGCGGAGGGAGGCGGGTCCCGGGGCTCAGCGGGACACCTCCATCCACAGAATGGCCGGAGCGCAGTGCGAGGGAGCGGCGGGGCAGCGGCTGCGGGGCAGTGCGGCGGCGGCAGCAGCGAGCTCCCCTCCGCCCGCCCTCCGCCCCTCCCCGCGCTCGTGCCCGGGCTCCGGGAGCGCGCCCGCGCTCCGGCTCCCGCCCACTGGCACGCGCGGGACCCATGCGTCATCTCCTTGTTAACATTCATAGCCTTCTTTGGAGCAGGTGGCTGCCTTTATTAATATTTATAAGTCAGTGCCTCCCCCCACCCCATTTAACATCGGCCTGCTTCCCACAGGAATATGCAGAAAGTCCAAGTTGTGCGCGTGCAGTAACTCGGGATGGAAGTCTCACTGGGCCTGACGCTGTAAATTCTCGAAAAAACTAGGCGGTGCCTGAGTGGGTGAGCGAGTGAATGCCTCCAGGCACGCTCCAAGGACTCCCGGACTTTCCCGGCTGCCCATTCTACCGTACTGGGGCTGAGGTGGGCAAGTCGAGGGATGCCTGCCAGCCACAGGCCAGGTCAGACCTCCAGTCAAAGGCGATCAACACTTCACCTCCCAACTGTGCGGAACGGGAGCTGGATCGAGGCTAATAATGCTGAGTGAGGTTTCCAGACCCGGCGGACTTGTGATGAGGATAACTCACCAGGCGATATAAGGAAGGAGCTGAGGGCTTTATGAAAATTTACTCCTCGTTCATTTGTCTGGCCCACTATGCATAAGCCTGTGCTTACAGGTGCTTTTACCTGCTGTCTAATAATTCATCAAAGCAGACAATGAAAAGTGGGAGTACTGCGAGTATCAATGAAAGGTACCTGGAAGAGCGCGTCTGCTCGGAGAACCCAAGTACTTTTGTCAAGTTAGGTGAAGTCAGAGGAAGTGGTGAGAGCCTGTGCTAAGCTGAGAACCGCAGCTAAAAGCAGCAGGGAGCCTTTCCGTCACTTTTTTTTCATTCATTATACAAACATTTCAATCACAAGAAAGAGGCAAAGCAAGGCAATAAGGTCCCGATGAAACAGGAGGAAGAGCTGGTCATTCTGCCTTCCTGGTGGCAGGAAGCAGAGGGTTTCTTCCTGTGAGAGGAAGGGAAATGGGGGGTTAGAAGGTCCCTGAGTCTGCTTTCCTGGGATGACACCCAGCGCTGTGACTTGGGCGGGTTAACCCTCTTGTGCCTCAGGTCCTTCTCTCTAAAGTAGGATATTTAATAGCGCTTACCTTGGAGGCTTGTTGTGGTGTTAGAGTACTGTGTGTAAAGTGCTTCCGGGCACAACAGAACTCGCTATTTAACTCTTGGCTATTATTTTCCTTAGCAGAAGCTTGGGGATCCTGTACAAGACAGAGGCCACCTTCTGTCCGTATCTGCAAGGCATGGCGCTCACAGGCTTGAAAGAAGTTTTCCAGGAAGTACAGCAAAGTGATAAAGACCTTGGGCTCTGCAGAAAATTCGGGTTCAACCCCCCGTGTTTTATTAGCTGGTTACCCTGTGCAAGTTTTACCCTCTCTGAGCCCCATGCGTGTTTCCTTGTCTGTAAAATGGGAATGTGAATATCTACTACTACAAGGTTGTTGTGCAAATTAAAAAATATGCACGCAAAATGCTTAGCACAGCAGCTGGCATATAGTGAGTATTCAATAAGTGAATTCTGTTGTTCTTATTTTTGTGAGGATTTGAAGGAACTGGAGGCTGAGGACTGACATTCTAGGCATCTGGGATGACTGCCCTGAACGTAAGCAGTTATTCTTCCAGCAAACATTTCTTTCATTTTATTGTGGTGAAATACACCTAACAACATCTACCATGTTAACCACTTTTTAAAAAATATTTTATTTATTTATTTTTAAAGAGGGAAGGGAGGGAGAAAGAGAGAGAGAGAGAGAGAGAGAGAAATATCAATGTGCAGTTGCTGGGGGCCGTGGCCTGCAACCCAGGTATGTGCCCTGACTGGGAATCGAACCTGCAATGCTTTGGTTCGCAGCCCGTGCTCAATCCACTGAGCCACGCCAGCCAGGGCTTAGTTAACCACTTTTTTAAATCTTCACCAAGGATATGTTTATTGATTTTTACAGAAAGAGGTGAAGGGAGAAAGACAGAAATGTTGATATGAGAGAGAAACATCAATTGGTGGCCTCCCATATGTGTGCGCCCTGACCTAGGTACGTGCCCTGAGCAAGGATGAAACCCGCAACCTTTTGGTATATAGAATGATGCTCCAACCCACTGACCCACCTGGCTAGGGCTGTGCTAACCGTTTTTAAGTGTGCAATCCAGTGGCATTAGGTGCATTCACACTGTTGTTGTGTTACTGGTATCCATCCGCAGAACTTTTTCATCATGTCAACCTGAAACTGTGTACCCATTCAAGTCATCACTCCCCCTTCCTTCTTCTCTGCAGCCCCTGCCAATCGCCTTCTGCCTGTACGGATCTGACCGGTCTAAGTAGCTCCTATAAGCGGAATCATACAATGTTTGTCATTTTGTGTCTGGCTTATTTTACTTAGCAGAGTACTTTCAAGTTTCATCCATATTGTAGCATATGTTAGAATTTCATTCCTTTTTTTTTTAAGCTGAACAATATTTCAGTGTATGGATATGCCACTTCCTGTTTATCCACTCATTCGTCTAAGGGCATTTAGGTTGTGTCCACCTTTTGGCTACTGTGAATAATGCTGCTATGAACAGAGGTGTACAAATTCCAGTCAACATTTTTCTTGTTTTGCGTTCTGTGACCTGTGCTAGAAGCCGGGAAGGTGAAAATGAGGGCATGCCTTCCAGAGGTTGAGAGTTCAGAGACTGGTTTCCAAACTCTATTACTTGAAACCTGTAATGGGTTGAAAAGCTTCTTTCATCAAATCTGCATCCACCCAGAACCTCAGAATGTGACCTTGTTTGGAAACAAGGCCTTTGCAGATGTAGTTAGTTAAGATTAAGTGATTATTGTTGGGAGCTGTGCTGTGTGTCGTACACGGTTAGCAGCACCCCTGCCCACTAGATGCCAGTAGTGCCACCCTCTTCCCTGAGTTGTAACAACCAAAGATGTCTCCAGACTTCAAGTAACCCCAAGCATGGGGGAGGGGAAATGATAAAATCACCCCAGTTGAGAACCACTAGCTTCGACATAGGTCTTTAAGGGGTAAGTGAACATTTTGCCAGGATGGGGCTGCATTCCATACAGAGGGAACTGACAGTAAAGCTTGGGTATGTACAAAGGCACACCACACCTTTAAGTAAGAAAAAAAACAAAGAAGGCTGGGTCATAGGTACAAACTGCTGGTTGGTGGGGATACAGCACAAATAATTGCTGCTAGAAGCACACCAATGCCATTCTAGGGGCTTATTTTAGTTCCTAAACTAAACTTCTTTTAGTCCCTAGTTTACTTAAATAGAATCAAAGATTCTTGGAGTACATAAAACATTTCACAATCATCTAGTCTAGCCACACACCGGACTCAGAGACCAATATAACATTACACACAGTTTCTACGCAGATACCTCCAGCAAGGAGAAGCTTGGCTTCACGGGCTGTCCAGTCCTTTTTTTTTCTTGAGTGGTTTTATTTTCTTGAGTGGTTTTAAACTAGTAATGACTCATTTACATTAGGAATTCGCTGATGGGATGGTGTGTATCACGCTCATCTTATTTGATTTTCCTCAGAAGAATCCATATTGAAAAAGCCACTTTTCCTTGACATTCAGGAAATGAGCTGCTGAATCTTTCTTGAAAACCTATGTCAATCACAGCCCAGTAAATAAAGATGAGCTCGTACCTGCTAATATTTTAAGACTACTTGATTTTTCCACCACCGGTAGTTTTCAAACACCAACATGCAATTCAGGCCTATATTCATCTTCACCCTTGATCTCCAGGGTTGATTAGACTCCCTGATTTGTTTCCACAAGGGAAATGGAATATTCCCCAGGATTCAAAATCTATTCATAGCCATGTAGTCTGCAGGTAATTACTCCCTACCACAAAGCACATGCAACAAGAACAAGGCCAATTGCTTTGAGGTTGTTTGTTTGCTTTTTAATTTTATTTATTTATTTTTAAAGAGAGGGAAAGGGTGGGAGAAAGTAAGGAAGAGAAATGTCAAAGTGCGATTGCCTCTTGAGCGCCCCCTATTGGGGATCTGGCCTGCAACCCAGGCATGTGCCCTGACTGGGAATCAAACTGGCTACTCTTAGATTCACAGGCCAGCACTCAATCCATTGAGCCACACCAGCCAGGGCAAAACCATATTGCTTTCAAAAAGAATAAGCACTATTGTAAAAATTGACAATAAATCAACCCCAGGAACAATGATAAATTCCAGAGTAGTCATCTCTGTTACCTGATGGAAAAAATGACAAAAATATGCCCTGGGTTTCAGGCCAGGTCCCCAGTTGGGCATGTGCAAAAGGCAACCAAAGGATGGTTCTCTCCCTCCTTGAGGTTTCTCTCCCTATCTCCTTCCCTTCTCCTCTCTGAAAATAAATAAAATCTTTATAAACTATAAAAGGCTTAAGATAAATTCCTTTCCTCCTTTTAAAGTTAATAAATCTAAATCTACATTTTCTTTCAAAAGTCAATCATGATATTTTGTTTAAGTTGACCCTAAACTCACCGAGAGATCTTGAAGTGTCTTCTAGTATCTTTGCCTGTTTCCCCATTTGTAGTCTCCTGACTGTTTCATAGAGATATTGTGAGAAGGCAAAAGTGTGTACACACTCAGTTATACAAGATATCAGGGAGGGAGCAAATTAAATCTACCAATTAACTCCATGTTTCATTTTATTCTGGGATTTCCTATAACCAAACCTCAGTTGCTATCCAATCATAAAAATGATTTATGTCTCTTGGATGTTCTTTAATTTTTCCCTTCCAGAGTTGCCAGATTTACTAAATAAAAATAAGGGGCACCTAGTTAAATTTGAATTTCAGATAAAGTGAATATTTTTAAATAAGTATTCACAAATATTGCATAGAATAGACTACACTAAAAAAAATATTGTTTATCTAAAATTCAGGCCCTAGCTGGTGTAGCTCAGTGGATTGAGCGTGGGCTGTGAACCAAAATGTCACAGGTTTGATTCCCAGTCAGGGTACATGCCTGGGTTGCAG